GTTTATCTGTCCCCGTGGCGGTTGTGGTTGTGGCTGTGTCTGTGTGTGTGTGTTGACTGCTAAACAGAATAGAGTCCTCTTCCCTCCGTTGGTCTCTCTTGAGATAATGCCGTCTGTGGTCTCGTAATTGCTGNACACACACACACACACACACTTTTTCCTTGGTCTCTTTCTGATTCACTTTGATTGCAGTGAGCTGGTTTTCTGCATCTCCTTGGCACATAAATTCCTTTTGTTATTTAGCAAAACACAGCCTGCCACTGTCAGGAAACCAAGACCGGCTGATTCATACGACACCGCGAGCCAAGAATGCCAGCTTATTATTTGACGAGGACAAACAGATTATTAAAGGCGCCGGCTACGAAGGCGCAACCCTTATTTTTCCACTTTGCTCTTCCTTGGCAAAGCTGAAGGAGCGTTTCCCTGTTTCTGGAGCCCCAGCAGTGGATAGCTTGGACGATACCTGTGGCTGGATCTTTTTTTATATATATATAGAAAGTTTTTTATTAGATAAACATTAAAAACATTGGACGTAGTGCGACCTTTCTGGCATATAAGCGTTTCCATATAGTGATTGGATCTTACAACAATTGCATTTTATATCCATTACATAGGTAGCCAGTCAGATTACCTGTCCGTTGATCCTTTCTTTTATATAATTACTAATCCTACAAATACATATCCGATTCCTACCTATCACACATTCTGAATACCAAAATTTTCCAATTCTTAACTCATCTGTGTTTTTCTGTCCCGGCCTTTTCCCCCTCATTTCTAACCATCGGTTCCATTTGTCCCAGATTTCGTGATATTCCCTCTCTCCTGCGTCTTTCAGCTCTAGAGTCAGTCTGTCCATTTCTGCGCACGTCAGTATCTCATTTATTATTTCTTGTTCCGAGGGAGTCTCTTTATTTTTCCATTTTTGTTGCAAAAGCCACTCTTGCCGCTGTTAAAATATGCAGCATTAAATATAGCCCATCTTTTTTCTTTTGTGATCCTTAGTAGGAATAATTCTGGCCTTAACTTCATCCTTTGATTTAGCATCTCTTCCAAATACTTTCTTATCTGGTACCAAAAATCCCGAGCTTTTCATGCACTCCCACCACATATGGTAGAAGGTCCCTAATGTAGCATTACATTTCCAACATCGTGGTGATAGGTTTTTGCTCATTTTAGCTAATCTTGTGGGTGGGATGAGCCCCAGTGGTTGGCTCTTTCGAACAGCCCCTGTTCCAGAAGATCCTCTCCCACAGGGGGGCCCTCAACGCCAATCCCTTGCAATGAACCCCATATGCCATTCCTGGGAGCCACAATTAGTAGGGAGGGCCTTGGTCAGGCTGGGCCACCAGTGGGGAGATCACTTCTCTTCAGAAGGGGGGGAGAGAAGTTCTCTGCAAGGCTTCTCACCGACCTTCTGGTCCTATGGACTGGCACCAGAAGCCCCTTGGGAATCCAGGTTTTCAGGACCGACTGCCAAAACCTCTTTGATGGCTTTAGCTTGTAAGGATTTGCCCGGCAGTGAGGCTCCAAGGGTGCTTAAGAAAGATGGAATTAAATAAGTAAATAAATAAGTGACTCTCAATGGGAACGATCGCTCGATTGGCAGCACATTTTACCCAACCCTTCTGTTCTGACCGAGGCTTCCCAAGAGCAGGAAGCAAACTCCTGGTCCCTTTTATTAATTGACTGTGAATTCTGCTCCTTCACCTCCAGCAAAGTCTTTCGAGGGAGGATTTACGGTCACAGACCTTATCTGGCTTGGAGAGCTGCCAGGCCGAGATCTGCAAAACTTGGCAACTCGGAGAGTCACGAACCAATGAAGCGAACTAATGGTCTCTCCTGCAAACTCCACTCCCCTGACGCTCCCTCTTTTAGTTCCTCTGGGAGGGGCCATTCA